TTATATATATATATATATATATATATATATATATATATACGAATTTTTTTTTCATCATTTTTGATGTTTAGAATCAATTTTCCAAAAAACATTGATATATATTTTTTTTTAATATCTTTATATAAAAAAAAACAAAATATTTATCAAAATCTATTTCATTATATATTTTATTCCTCGCTAAATAATTTTTAAATTTAATATTTAATATATTCATAAATAAAAATATTTTTAGTTCATAAATTTAAAATTACTAGCAATTTGTTTATTATAAAACAATTATAATATAATGATATTATTTTCATCACGTATCGAAGATAAAACAATCTTAAAATATCAGAGAATCAAATAGACTTTCCGTTAAAGTTACTATCTTGATAATACACTATACCATTGTAATTGTATGATATCATAACTCATATTATAGACAAATAGGTGGAAATTATGTCGTTTAGCAACTGTTGCTATTAATATTGGTTTTCAAACGATGCGCCGCAATATTTAGAATGGAAATAGTTACACTTGTGCTTATGATTTTAGAAGTTTTTAAAATTATTTTTATATTTTTTGTTTCTGAATATTTATCAATTTAAATTTAAATTAAAAAAAAATTTAATATATCGATACCTTACTCCAAATAATTTATGTCCATTTCTTAAAAAATTTGAATTTTTATATGCAATGAATAATTCTTAACTATTTTTTTATATTATATATAAAAAACTTATAATTATATTAATAATAAAAATATATTAATAATTGATAAATACATTCAAATACATGTTTTCAAGAAACTTTTTTTTTGATAATTTTTTTTTATATTTCATTATTTTATACTTTATTATTTTTATATATTTATAATTTGCATTATGCATACAATAATTGCAGATCACGTTACAATCATATTATATTATGTCATATGATATTTGTAATAAGAGAGATTATAACATCATTTTTTTTAAAAGAAAATTTTTAAATCCTAAATCCTCATCAAGGCATGTATAATGAAGATAAAGTGGTATTCTCTGTATCATTCAATTTTCTCCGACAAATTTTCAGAAAAGAAAAATATAATGTCATATTATTCTCATTATTATTAAACCAAAATTACGTTATATGATCATGATTTTCTAAAGCCAAGTGTTGTATCGTATCATGTGACATGTCTAATTTAACATCTAATCTAACATTTACTAAAATGTGTTTCTTCTTTTGCGAAAAATATTAGCCGAAAAGAAATTAGGTCACATTTAATAGAATAGATAGAATGTATTATCCGCATTCGGCAGTAATATAACAATCAAGACTGTCCCAAAAATGTTGGAATATCTGTAAATTGGAAATTTTTGAAATAATTTCAAGCAATATTTTTTTTTTGCTAAAACTTTTGTTATGTTTATATAGAACGTATAGTAAGTAGAATTAGCTACGTGCTACCGATTGAGCACGAATAAAAATCTAGGTAATATATTTCGAAGAAAGTGTATTAAATATTATATTTATTTATTTATTCATTGTTCATAATATAATTTGATATAATTTTTATTGATAAAAAAATATTATTATATTTAATTCAACACACTTTTTTCGAAATACATTGCTTGGACTTGTTATGCTCGATCAAATCAGCATATAGCCAATGTTATTGTCGCGATTAGGCTATGCGCTCCGTGATTTGTTAATGTTTTTTATTAATAACTATTATTAATAACTAATTAACAAAATCATAATGAAAGTTTTTGCAAAGGATATTATTGAATATTACTTGAAATCACTTCAGGAATTTTAATTTTCCAACATCTATGGAACATCCTATATAATTCTTTATATATATATCTAAAATAATTCTTTCGCCAATGAATTTTAAAACTATCATATCACTTTCACTATCTATCACTATTCACTATCTATATTTCAAAAAATTACATTAAATTTTTATACATGATTTATTGAAAGAGCCAATATTCTATCTGACTATATATGAGAGATTATTATATAACAGAGACAACTGTATTTTTAAATTTACAACAAAATTTTCCATTGATATTATAAACATACAAAAATGGAATTACCGCAATTTAAGCGATAACATTTTTACTTTATAAGCAAAAGAATATAATTTTCTATGAAATGAATATATGTTTAAATATTCATAAATGGATACATTTATTATTAATATACATTTTATATTTCTTATAATAAATAGCAGAAGATATAAAAAAAAACAGTTTATTTTTTCGAAATTATTATTTTACTGACATATAACCCGAATTCTTATAAGATGTTGTATCTATTCTATATCTCGTTTATGATTTTATTTAAATTTTTTTCTATTCATGGTTATTATATTCATTGGTTTTTAATTAGCAATATTACCGGATTTCTATAAAAATATTTTATACATAAAATTACAGATGAGATGCAAAAATAATTTAGAAAATACATTTTCTAATTTTAATATGACTTAAAAAATTAATATAATGTTATATAGATATTATAATATTATATGAGAAAATATTAAATACATTGCAATTTAATGATAAAAATCTTTTGATTTTAATAATGTACATTTTATTTAATAGAATTATAATGATCCAAATAAGAAATGCTGTAAATAAAAAATCATCATTTTATGTTATTCATATTTTAAAATTATTATTAATGGTAAGTATATTTTAATATATATTGTAATAATATTTAATATATTATTTTAATATTTCTTCGTAAGAATTATTAGAATTAAAAAATGAATTGTTTTAAAAAATCGTTCAAAACTAATATTATTTTATATTTTATAATATGATAATATAAATAATATGAATTCTATATAAAATTAATGTCAATTCGATAGGAAATTAATATTTAAATGAAATGAGATAATAAAATAGTAAATAACTAAAATTGATATACATATGAAAATTTTTTTCGTTATCGTATTAATTCAATTCATGTACACACATGAATATCTATTGAATACAATCATTGTATAGTCACAAAACTGTTTTTCTTAATAGTTTCAAAAAATTTTATGCAACAATTTTATTAATAGTTATTTACCAAATCATTTTAATTATTTTATGTAATACATGTATATTTATTATAATTAATATGCATTGATATATATATATATATACTTAATTGTATCTTTTAACTTTTATATTTAATATTTGTATTTCAGTGTATGATTTATCAATCTTATTTGTGGATTCATACATTGTATCTTGTATTTGATCGTTCTTATTATAAAACAAATATTTATTTAAAATAAATTAATAATTTATTTTTAATTCCTATATACATTTATATTTACAAATATTCGTTAAAATTTTAAATATAATAAAAATTAAAATATATTATCTAGTTCTGGTTATATAAATCTAGACGTACATATTTTATTTCTATTCAATAAAAATAATTAACTGAGAAAGGTATAATTTTATAAAATAAATTAGAAAATTAAAATTATTATTATTATTATTTATTACAACTTATTATAATGATTTAGAGATTAAATATTGTTAAATATAGAAGATAACCTCATATGTTTGTTATGTAATTCTCACAAATTTTAAATGTTTTAAATATTTATGTTTCCTTTTCCCTTGTCTTTTATAGTTATAAGAACAAATATTTTCTAAATATAAATTATAAAAACAACTAAATGATTTTAGCATACTTATAAGTGAATTTAATTTTTTGGAATATAATAATGGAATTATCGAAAGATACCATTGATGGTATTGCTAATATTTTAAATACAAATGTTATTACTGATGATAATTTCTCACAAATTTTAGAAACAGCTATTTCATGTATATATGAAAGTCCTTCAGAAATAAAATGTAAGTATTTGTTTTATGTTATATTATTTTGTTATATTATCTTAATTATCAATTATTAAAAGATAATTAACAAAGATATTTAAATTAAATTTTAGGCACTGTAAAAGCATCTGATTCAAAACCAATTTTAACAAAAAAAACTTTTACTGATGTGGTATGTTTACTTATAGAAGCTTCTCGGCATGACTTAGATGAAGAAAGTTTAAGAAATTTTTTAAATCTCATATATATTGATGAAAAAAGAATTAGCAAATTATGTGAAGTATATATTAACAATAAAACAGCAATACAATCTCAGTTGGAATTGATAGGCAATAATCCACCTCATATTATTGATATAGACTGGCATTTAGATTATTGTATCAAGGTAATTGATCGGTGAATAAAATACCGACCATTTCATCCAAAGATGTTTAATTCATTCTTATTTATGAAAGTGATTTTCAGTTGGACACATGCGATTCACTTGGTGTTCCTCTTTATCATGTGAGACTTAGTACTAAAAAACATGAAACAATAAATTATGTAACATTTTCATGTACAATACAGCAATTGCAAGATTTGGTATTTAAGCTCAAAGATGTTATTAGATATTCAGAGAAGCTCACTAATGTTTAGCTGTATCTTTAAGTTATTAGTTTACTTCATACAATACAACTCATTTATATTTTTAAAGTTTCTTGGAATTATTGTTTTAACTACTTTTTTTTACAATATATGAATTTCTATAAATGAAGCATAATCAACAATTTATGACATTTGTATATTAATATTTACACAATAATTATTATAGTAATCATTTAATAATAAACTCAATTTGTACGTATAAGTGTAGTGGTAAAATCTTATACAAATAACAGACCATGTAAAGTATAATCAACTATATTTTTATAATTAAAAGAACATCCTCTACTTCATGTAGTATTATTACTGTATTGATACCGCGCGCGCGTAGAGAGTATGCGCGCGTGCACACAACATACGTAGACACGTACATAAATTTCAAAACAAACGACGATCAACGTTTTTATAAATAAAACAAATCTCGAAAACTTCGTTTAAACCATTTTGATTTAAACGATATTGAAATTTTTTTTACACAAAGATTATACACATACATTTTTCACTCGCTCACTCATTCAGGTACACCTTGTATACAAAAGAGTCGCGCGCGCACACAACTAATAACTTATTAAAAATACGTTGTTTTTTTGCTCTACAATCAGGCATCTCTCTAAAAATTGCTTTCTCATATTAGACAAAAAATACTATTCGTTACATTCCTTAATTCCTAAAAATATGTGTGTTAAATTATATTAATAATTGATAATTTTTTTATATCTAATATATGATATAGACTTTTTCGAATCATTATACACTATTTACAAGTAAATGTATCTAAAAAGAAAAAAAGATCATCCAATATTAAAAATTTATCTATACATTAACTTTCTTTCTTTCCGGCACTTATTAAAATTAATAATGGACTTTTTATCCATGCGTGCTATTTTAATAATTCGGTGCGATGCGACACATCGATAATATTAACTAATTAAGCTGGAAAGAGAGAAATCACTTATAGTGTAATACTTTTTCTCATTTTTTAAATCATCTAACAACGATCTTGCTCTTGATTTCCTAACATTATTTCATAAGATTATTGTGATAAGGCCTCGGACATTTTACTATAGTTGTTTTTTTTAAAAAAGAGAGTATGCAAAAAAAGAGCCAATCTCGAAAAACTGTATTCTGACTAAATCTACTTAGAACATTAATTCTCGAGGCTTTGGTTACATATTTATTTGACTAAGATATATTCAGAAACATATAATAGAATCTGTTCAAAAATATGATAAATAATGTAAACTAACAAATTGCGTGAAATTATATTATAAAAACTTTTGTCACATAAATATGATTAATTATACGCAGTAAGTTTTTCTATGTGATCTGTATACAATCCCCTATTGAATATAGTTTTGAATATATTTAGTCATTTTTTTTTGTTCAAATCAAAGGAATATTTCTATAATTATTACAATTTTTAGTCACAAAGTAAAAATTTAATATTAATATATATTAAACATAATATTTTAATATGTTTAATGTTTTGTGATTTAAAAATCATAATAATTATTGAATTTGTTTTATAGTAGTAATATTATGGAAAAATTTATCGGAAATATAAAGAATTACAATTTGATAAAATGTTTTGTTTGAAATAAAATATAGCAATATCCAAATATTTTAGTGCAAAAACATATAAATTGAATAACTTGCTTAATACAAAATTTATGTTTTTGCTTTATTATTTTGAGTCTCAGAATTATTTTGTTGTTCCTCGGTTTTGTCACACTTCTCATTTTTAGGTTCTTCTATTTCTTCTTTTTCAATAACTTTTTCCGATACTTGTACTGTCTTTGTTTCATTTTTTTCATTTTGTTGTTCTGTAACTTTATCAATTGTTGTTTCGTTTTTATTTTCACTGATAAGATCTCCATTAATTTGAGAAATTGATTTTTCTTTTTTTGTATTTACATTGTCAATATTTTCATCTAATCGACCTTTTTCTGAATTTTGTCCTTTTGAAAGATATAAATTCTGTTCTTTACATTTTGTAACTTCTTTTTCCAATCGTTCTTATTTTGATCTTGATCGCCAGTACCCAATAAAGATGTTTCTAATTTATTTTTCGAATTAATAATCAATGTATTTTTATTCTGTCCAATACTTGAACTTGGGGAAAGTGAAGTTGATTTAGAATTTCGAACTGTTTCTGTTGGTATTTTAACAGTCTCTGTATTACAAAAATTTCCAGTCTTAGACAAATTAAATGCACTGACATCTTCCTGTGATGTATTTTCTGGAAGAAGCAGATTATTAGTCTCAAGAGACGTTGCAATTGTTTGTGTTTCAGATTTGACCAAGTTGTATGATGCAGGAGAAATTGCTGTTAAAGAGGTAGTTTTAGGTGATTTGGGTGAAGAATAAGTGCTTGGTGGTATTCTTTGAACTGTTGGAGGTTGTGAAACAGGAGAAAAACCAGTAGTTTGTGGAATATAACTAGATCGTTGATATAATTTATTAATTGAAGGAGGTAAATTACTATGGAAGGCACTGGGAGATGGAATTCCTATTGGTGAACGTATCAAAGGATTTGGAAATCTATTAGTATCTGGGAATGGTGGTGGAAAATGAGGATAAATTAATCCAGGATTCATATTTGGTGTTGGAGAGGGTATAAAAGGACTCGTAGAAAGCATATTTACTGGAGAATTTTTAGGAGATATTGATGAACCAGTACTTCTACAAATATCTCTTGAGAATGGAGGATTTGAATAATTCCTTGCACTAGGAGAATATGGAGGTGGTGAAACAATAGGTGAATTAACTGTTGAAACAATTGGAGATAAAGTTTTAGGATCTATCTTCATCATACTCAAATTTCCATTTTTGGAATTACTAGATGTATTCGTAGTTGTTGTTGATGTCATTGTTGATTGTTCTTTTTCTTTACATTCATTACCAATGCCATATATTGGTTTCACTCCAGAAGCAGGATTGCCTAAATATCTTAACATGTTTCTTTTAAATATTTTAGCAGGTTTAGATTGAATTGTTTTACTTCTTTCAAAAAGTACAGTTTGATGTAATTGATTTTGCGTTTCTTTACTTTGATTTTTAACTGCTACATAATTGTTTTTGGAAAGTGTAGGATTCCAGCATCTTGGAGGATCACGAAGAGTCTTATAACCCATTGCTTGACTTTGCTTTTTTGAGACAGAAAGAACTTTCTGTAAAGAATGTGATGTTACTATTAAAGAAGTAGTTACTGATGAAGTAGCTCTAACACTATCCTTTACATTTGAATAAATATTTTTGCTTTCTGTTGTGATTGCATTGCTACTAGGTGAATAAATGGGTACATTTGGAATATTTGTATGTTGCTGATGCTTATTAGTAGAATCAATAGTAATTGCAGGTGAACCATTTTTTCTACCAATTTTTAATAAATCTGGAATATCAGATTTACTTTTTGCTTCTGTTTTGTTTTTTTCTTTAGAATTTTCTCCAATTTTAGCACAAATATCATTAATTTTTGAACCTGAAGCTCCAATTTTTGCACAAATTTCATTTAAATTAGAACCCTTTGTAATTAATTCATTTTTACGTATTGTTGGTTTCATTAAAGAAATTGGAATAGCATCAGGGCAAGGAGGCACTGAATATGTATTAGATATTTCTAAATTTGCTTTTGTAATAGATTCTTTTGAAGTACTTGTACTTGTACTTGGATAATTATTTTTTAAAGCAGAAGAGACATTCATAGAAGGTACAGCAAATGCTGGAGGACTTTCTGATGTAGATACTTCATTTGTAGAAACTGTAGCAGATAATTTTTGAGTTGTTGATGTCGTTAAACTTTTGAAAGAATGTTTTAACATTGTACTATTTACTAAATCCTGAACTGTATAAGGAAATGTAGATGAAGATTGACTTATCGTTGATGTAGAAACTGAATTAACTCCATTGCCAGCAGATATAGATAGAGATGTTGAAAGATTTAAAGATGCAGCATTACTATTTGGTAATGATTCAATTTGTGTATATGGTGATTTTTGAGGAAGAGTATTTGTTTGTTCATTTGTTTTTTGACAAGATTCAGTTAAATTTTGATCTGATATACATGATTTTTTTTCTGAAGTATTTTCTCCTTGAGAATGTTCTTCCTTCTGATCAATTGATTGCACATTTTTTACATTTGTTTCCGTTTCTTTTATTTCAGGATTAATTGAGGTATTTAAACAAGTTGATAAAATAGGTTCTACACTATCTTGTAATTCAGATACTGGTTTTTGTGATATGATTTTAGTACAGTATGGAACTAACGATTTATTTATTGTAACTTCACAATTATTTGTCATAATTTGTTCTTTTGAAGTATCAAAAGAATTTTTTAATTCTGTAGTTTTCAAATTTTCTGTCATTTTTATATCTGTCTTTTTAGATAATTGTGATATAATTTTTTTATCTTTTGTAATTTTCTTTGAAGAAGCATTACTACTGCTAATTTGTCCACTTTTCGGTTGAAATTGCAATTTTACACTTAAAGCATTGATTTTTGATCCCGTATTTACAAATTTTACTTCACTTCTTGAATTTTGTTTAGAAGTTTCTACTTTTTCTGTAAGAATATTATTATTATTTTTTGATGATTCTTTTTGATCTTTATTTTCAATATTATTGTTTTTAATTTCATGTTCATTTATGTATTGTGTTTCTTGCGAATGATTTTTTTGCAAAATTATTTGATCTTCGTTATTATTATTATTTGATCGATTTTTCGATTCTTCTTCATGTTTAGAATTTATTATATTTTCTATTTCTTTTGTCGACGTCTTTACAGATTCTATTTGATTAAAGCTGTTTTGGTCATCAAATTCATTTAATTTGAAAGAAATATCAGATTCATTAATATCTTGCTTAATATCTGAAGAGTGTTTATTTTCTTTACTGACTTCAGATATTTTATTTCTATCGCCATTTTCTTCAATTATTGATGTATTTATTTCAACACTAGTAATAGGTTCTTCAACTCTTGTATTCTTTTTAAATTGTTGGTCCGTTATATCTGTAATACTCATTATACCAGTTTCAGAAATTTTCAACTGTACTTCTTTCCATTCCCTTTTTGTTGATTTTTCTTCTTTTGATTCAATAGAATCGATTCCAGCATGGAATAAAGAAGTTTTGTAATTGACATTGTCTTCTGAAAGTTTTATTCGTTTTGGAGAAGATTCAAATATTCTGTAACTTAAATGCAATGGCACTTTCTGAAATGAATATGATATAATATTTACAATAAAAAAAAATGTTTAAACTTTCAAACATTTTTAAATAATAAATCTTTGATACTCACTCGCCTCCAATGATAAATATACATCACATCCATCAATGTATAATTACTACACAATGGTTCCTCTTTATACATAATATCCACTCGATGTGCATCAGTTAAGCCATACTTAGCTCGTATAAGTTTTTGTAAATGAAAAATAGTTACTGCAGCAGGACAACGTAGATACCGCCTTAATAAGGGTTTTACAGCTATTCCTTTAATATCCTTGGAAGGACTAAAGTATTCTAATGATAAACTAAGAGATTCATCTGGAGAATATATATGTGATTCAATTGGTTCTCCTCTTGCCTCTGGAGATGTTGCTTGAGTACATGCTTCAGGATGTTTTGAATAAAACTCTCTCCTACATCTCATTTCATCTGAAATGAGAATAAATATTTTAATTAAAAAATTAATTAAGAAACTCAATAGATAAGTTATACAAATACATTACTTTTTTAGAATAAAAAATTCAATAATCCAGAATATCCAGAATTAAACATTTTTTTTCAATTTGATTTTCCAAATTTATGTATTATATATATGATTTTTTTATATAAAAATATATACATAGTATGTTTTTATATTTAATATAGAAAAATATAAAAATTTTATCATTTGTATCATTTTTCCCTTAAATTTTTCAATTAGCATTATAAGTTTTTTTTATAATTAATTATAATACTTACTTTGGTAACATCCAGGTACCAATTTATACACAATGTCCTGCAAAGTATAGTCTGGACGAATATTGAGTAATGGTTTACTTTTATGCACCTGTACCTCACATATTGGACAATATTTATTGTTCTCCAGATACTTGACGATACAGCTCCTGCAAACTGTAGTGCGACGTTAATCGCCGCTTACATCAATATGTTGGAATCATCACCTTTTGTAATGATGAAAGCATATTTATTCACCACAAACAAAAGGATTAGAAAAGCAATAGAAGAATACACGTACACGAATGTAAACACTCTATAATCGTAGTTGCATCAATGAAATATCCACCGCATAATTTACATGTCAACTGATCGTTGAGTTTAGATAGCCGTAAACGATACCCTCCACTCTGACCTGACATCCTATAGTAAGTAAAATAAATTAATTATATACATTTAATTATTAATCAATGAAAATACCACACAAATTACAACAATACAAACATCTTATATAACATACCATTATCAAACAAACATAATATAATTTTTCAGACAAGTTTAATAATTTGCACATTGAAAATATACTGAAATGAATTTTGAAGCAATCATATTTAAGTGTCACAATTAAGATATTAAACTTACGTGTTAAATGGCGAGAAAATTTTTTGTTTTATCTAATAATTGCCATTTGATTAAAGAAGTCAGGAAAGTTGGATCAGAACTCGAGATGATATTTCATGAATTCTCATAATGAGAAATTCATTAAAAAACTGAGTAAGTCCAGCAAAAGCAAATCTCTTCCAACACAGAGAGTGTTATCTGATTCTATAATTTTTCTAAATTTGAATCAATCTTTTTTTTTTTAATTCATTACAAGATGTAATCCTAATAATTATATAGTCTCAGGACACAAAATGCGATATATTATAATCGATTTATCTTAATCGATCTTAATGAATAAATTATAAAATCATGAAAATTATTCTATGGAAATTTATCTTTTCCAAGAAATTTCATTTTAAATTTTTGTATTAAAATTTTGCATTTAAAATAAATATTTTAGAAAAGATTATTATTTATTAAATTGTAATAGCATAGCAGTATAACATTGATGTAATGGATTTCAAATTATTCTTTTTTATAAAAAAAATTAATAGAAAATTAGTTTATGTTAACATAATCAATCATTTCCTATATTAGATTGTTTAATTTTTTCGACTGACGTTTACACTAGCATAAACTAATTTTCTTCAATTTCTTCAAGGTCGTTGAAATCCAATTGATTTCTTTTTCTTTATTTTTTCCATTTTATATATATAACCACTTAAATCCGTGAAAAAGTAATTTTTCGAAATGATTACCAAAATTCTTTAAAATACAAAAGAAACATCAGTATTGGTTAGGCTAGATAAATATCTAGCCGTTGACAGGCGATTGGTAACGCACATACAAAATAATTTTTCAATGATTCAGATTAGAATCTGTCTCTTATATTTAATTTTTTCCTACAATTTTTTATAATTAAATTTGTTATATATGGCAATTAGCTGTAATTTTCTTAATAATAATATATCAATTTTCTAATATACGTACCTTTGTGACTACGTATGAACATATAGGTTAACTTTTTAATTTTTTGTTTCTTACAGAAAAAAATATATTTTTCCAAAAAAAGTTTTAGAACTTCGTTATCTACTCGTCAAGAAGAATCGATTAATGTATCATATGTCGCATTTCGTGTCCCGAGACTATATTAGGAATGTTCCCATTGTAAAATAGGCCACGGTACCAGGAAAAACTTTGAAGACGACAGCAAAACAAAATGGTGGATAAACAATCATGCCAATGACATTTCTAAAAACATGAGTTATTTTTTAGGTTTTCAACCATATTTTAGAAAAGAATAGCAAAGAAAAATAAACAATAATTAAAATAAATAAATTACAAAAAACATTATATTTAGAAAATATCCGAAAGATATAAATATTGTAGATAATTATTATAGATTAACGGTATCATTCATCGATATGACTATTTAAGTACTTTATACAATTCAGAGATGGCATTATATATTAATATATATTAATAAATATATAAAAATAATTTCTATAATCTCAATCCAGATTTGAAAAGGATATTTTAGGAAAAAATTAGCAACAAATCATTATAATATTAAAAATATACTTTATTAAGTTTAATAAAAATGATATTATCAATATTGAAAACAATATTAAGTAATATTACTATCTATGTTTTTAATATTCGAAGATCTTTGATTATTTTTTACTAAGAAAGTATGGTAATATTATTCACATGTGTACTGTTTCGATCTGTTGTAGCCTGATTGATTAATTTTTATTCTAGTTTTGATTCGTTAATTATTCTAATTATTTATAATTAAAATAATTATTTTGTTAATATTTGTTTGTAAAAAACATTATTTTATTTTTTATTATTATTTTTGTAAATGAATAATTTAATTTCAATAATCAATATTCTCTTTTAATTCAAGTCGGAAAAGATGTTAACATATTATATTTATTTTATTTTGTATAATATTTTGCATAATATTATACATATTAACGTTAAAATTTAATACTTTAATAATTTAATAATTTAATGTTAAATTTTTTTATTTTAATTCATTATGATAATCATTTAAACCAATCTATGTTAATTATTAAAATGATAATAAAAAAAAATGGTAAAATACAGAACATAGCTTATTTTAGATACAAACATAATAATAAATTTAACAATATAATTTAGCAATGCGAAAAAGTGATAGTAATATTTAAAAATGAAGATATGTGGAGGAATAATAAATATTCTATTTTATTATAGTATATTCTTTGGTAAAGTATTTGTCTTATTTTAACAATATATTGTAAATAAAATACTTATTATTTCTCTCATGTGTATTATTTCTAAGTTTTACTACCATTATTACTTTCTTGTGCTTTTTCAAATGATAGTTTTAACAATAAAATTTTGTCTGACAATTTTGATTGAAAGGTTATGTATTGTAGTAAATAGGAATTCTAAGTACATAATATCTTCTAAATAACTAGTCTAAATGTACAAAATCTTTTTAATAGTTAAGTTTAAATAATAATAAGTATATTATAATTATAAGAAGTAAAAATAATATAAATATTCAAAATAATAAAAGAATATATAAATTTCGGTTTTAGGATTATTTTACATACATTTTACTGTTTATATTGATTAAGTTTTTTTTAATATAAAGTAAATTTAAGTCATTTTTTAAATAAAAATGCAACTTTTAAAATGAATAATGAAGCATAAATTAATAGAAGAAAAAAAGATTTTTAATATTACGAAAATAAATATTAATAAAGTGAAAAAAATAGTAGCTGATTTATAATAAATCTATTATAAAAAAAAATTACATCTAATTAGTAGCAGTTTGAAGAAGAATTTACGTTTCTTTATTAGTTAGTTTTAATAGAATCTTAAAATTTTTTAATTTTATGAAATATATTTTAGATTATCGTTTTTAATCTTATGAGATAGAATTTATAATTATTCTTTATAATCTTAAGAATTGAAGTTAGAATTTATTCTAGATTAATTAAAAATAAATATAGTGTAAGTAAAAAAATAAAATAACGTAAGTAAAAAAAGTAATACAATTCATATAAAACTGAATTAATTATATATTAATTGTATATTATTATAGAATATAAATTATATAATTAATTATATATTATTATAAAATAATAATTAATTATATTAAATATTACAAGCATTTTAAGTTAAATAAATTAAAATATAAAAAACAAAATATTACTATATATACATATACATATACATATATATATAGCAATTATAACAAAATGAATAATGTATTGTTATATAATTAATTATTGTATTATGTAATTGTTAAAGATTAAAATAAAACATAGAATAAAAATTTGAAAGTTTTGATTTAATTAATTATTAATCAATTGTGTTACATACAAAAAAAAATAAATTTATATATGTACAGAAAATACATTATATTGTGCATACTATAATCGTTTTAATATGTTATGTTTATGTCGTTATAATATGTTTTTATTTATGTAGTTTATTATAACTTAGTTCTACTGCTAAAAAACCATTTCATGAAATTAGAAAAACGTTCGAAACTAATTTCTAGTAATTTCTAGTAATTTCAAAGTAAAAGTTCAGACATTGTTGCCGAATTTATTTTCACTGATATCTATCTAAAATAGATTGTGATTTATATTTTATTCAGGATTAATGTATATTTATGATATTAAATTACAAATTCAAAATTTAATTTAATTTTAATTTATGTAATAGAATTTTATTGTATTATTTTCATTAAAATATGAATAGAATGAAAGAATTTATTTCAAATAATTTTTTTTTCAAAAAAAGTAAAAATAATATATTATAGGTAAATATTTTATATTTTAAATTTTAATTTAATTAAAATTATAATTTTAATTATAAATTTTAAATGTAAAAATACAATATCTAATATACATGAAATACTAGATAAAATTTTATTTTTTTTTTTGCAATAGTAGCCTGTTAAGTTAAATGTTTTTACTATTTTAAATAAAAATATTTAAAATATTAATATAAATTTATTTTAAATCATAGATTTAAATTTTAATTATTATTATTTTAGTACATATGTTAATAAAAATATTTATAAAATAAAATTTTAAATAATTCAATATGATTCATACTCTATTATTTTTGTAATTTATGATTTATATCTAAACTAGCAAGATAAATGCTAGTAAAATGTTAAAAAATTATATATATAAAACTTTAGCAATTTATCTATTTTCTATTAAATAATAAGATTTAATGATTTCATTTCATACAAATATTTCATAATTTTCACTTTGTCTTAATCATTATTATTATTTATTTAAAATAGGAAAAAATATTTATATATATTCAGTTTTGTTAAAATATAAAAAATTAATTTTTAAAATGGTTACATTACAAGATATTAGTATACAACTTATGAAACCAGCCAAAGATCTTGCTGATTGGAAATTTCCATTATCTCAGGTATATTATGATATTAAATTTATTATAATTAAATATAAAAGAAAATATTATCTATTATTTTAGATCTTGGAGGAATACTATGCTTTATTAGAAGAACCATGTAACATTAACTTTGGGGAAGCAGCACTTGTTCTTCAAAATTCAACTAATGTATATGTACGAAGAATTGAACGTTTACTTAATGAGACAGAAGTTTTAAAACAAACATTTTTTAATTATGAGTAATTATTTATTTTAAATTTAATTACAATATATATACTATAATCAATAATTTTTTTTATTTTTCTATTAGAAAAGAAGAAATAAAAAAATCTATGTGTAAAGAGAAAAAAATTTTAAAAAAAGCCTACATTGATTTTAAAAATTTTGTAATTATTGATTTAGAGAAAGATATTGGAAAACATATTAACAAAAAACATCATTTTCAAGAAAAAAAAATTAAATTATTAAGTCATCGGTTTACACAATTAGAAAATGGTGTGACTCAATTGTGTATTCCTATTCAAGTATATGATGTTCTAGGAGAAATTATTGGAAAAAAATATGATTTTCGGTAATTTTTTTTTATTTAATTTATTATAGTTAATTTTTTATAATATTTTACTTATAATTTTAAGGTGTAATCAATCTATAAATACAAATGGAATGTTAATAGATGAATTAACACCATATGATTTTACTTGTATACTTGATTCTTATGAAGAAAAAAATTCATTGTCATCATATTCAGAACCAAAAACTTCTGATATTAGAACTTCAGAATATCATACAACAAATACTTCGTTAAATGATAATGAATCTATTCATGAATTTGAAGATGAAGAAAATTCTTCATTAATAGAAAATGATTTATCAATAAATGAATTACAAGTAAGCAAAGAAAATGTGATAAATAATAATTGTGAAAGTTCATTTGCTAATTTAAAACAAGCTATTACTAAAAAAAATGAATCAAAGAAACGAGATACTGAACAAACTATAATACAAAATCATAGTGATGAAAAGAGTTCAATTCAGAATTTCAAAGAAATGAATCAAATTAAAAAACAATCCCAAACTGAAGATTCTGTACAAGTGAATCAAATAAAAAAGGATAATCAAAATGTTAAACATATACAACTTGAAACTAATGATCAAATAAAACATAATAAAGAATAAATATTTTTAAAGAGAATGAAATTTTTGAATCAAATAATTTGGATAATGTAAGATGGAAGGAAGAATTATCTAATACATGGAAAAGAGGGTACCTCTTAGAAAACTATTTTACTAATTTTACAATTCATGATATTAAATCAATGAAAATATTAATATTTTTATTAGGAATCAAACAACAAAAATGTCTATATGTTCTGTAAATGATATAAATGAATGTGATTGGAAGCCAATGCCACTTATTCAAGGAATAAAACATGTTTTCTGTGATAATTCACCTATTTTAAAACTTCCAGATTATATTTCATTCTTGGAAACAAAATTTGGTTCTGTATGTATTGATTAATTTTCATATTTTTTATTTTAAAATTTTGAATATTCGAATATTTATTTATATTTATATTTATGTGTCTATTTATTCATTTATTTTAGAAAAAACGTAAATTTACATCAAAATTATGCGAACGTGAATGTTTAACAAAATTGGTTTTGCGTGAAACAAAATTACTTACAAAGAAAAATACTACTTTACAAATGAAACAGAAATTTAAACATTTACAAAAGCGTAAGTTATATTAAAATAATTTATGCTTTAAAATTATTATATATATAAAAAAAATGTATTTTATTGACAGAGGAAATAGAAGATTTCATGAAAAATTTTGATGAGTGTCTAAATGGTACAGAAAGAGAAAATGTTAATTATCGATATGAAGCTGTAACAAATATTGCTACTGATATACTGGATTTTCATATGTCTCAAAATCAAAATAATTCAATTGAAAATAATGCAGAAAATATGACAAGTAGAAGTTCTTCACCTACTGATAATGTATTACATTCAATAATTTATCAAAATTCATTTGATACTTCTGTAAAATCTCCTGATTCAAGTAATAATTGGTGTGAAACTTCAATATCGGACATTAATTTGTCCTATTCTTTACCAGATTATCAAACATTAATTGAGCATAAAATGAAAGAAATTTTTGAAGAATCTAATGTTATAACAGAATTAGATCAAACTGTAGCAAAATGGCATGCTTCTTTGCAACCAAAATTATCAGAAGTTGAAACAAGACCTACATTTCGAATTCGTGATTATTCATCACGTATAATAGAAGAATTAAAAACATTAGAACAAAAAACAGTTAATTTTGATACTATTGTTCAAGACAAACCTGCTTATGAAGTAGCTAGATATTTCTTAGCTTCATTACAATTGGTATTTTTATTATAATCTATTTATATTCTAAAATTTAATTTGAATTCTAATAATTTTTTTATATTTTGTAGGCAAACACTTACAATGTGGAAATAAAAACAAAAAGCAGTGATAATAATATAGAAATAATGTTACTTAATGGAAAAAGTTGTGAGAAAAATTAAAAAAATAATTTTAATATTAATACTTTTGTATTTATAGTGATTCTTAAAAATATTTTGATATTAACATGACATATTTCATTTTAATGATTTATATTTTTATTAATTATAGAAGAAACAAATTTAAACTTATTTTTTTCAATAGAGTATTTTTATTGTATTTTACAAATATATGTAATTTATTAAAGTAAACATAATAAAATATTAAAAATTAAATAAAATCATAACTGTTTTCATATCATAAAAATATTTGGACATAAAAAAATTTTTGATTAATTTTTTTAAAAAGTTAAATATTGATTTTGATATTTTTTTGATTTTATAATACATTTTAAGTAGTCTAAGATATTAAAAATTATTTTTTGTTAACAATGCATTGTATATTTTATTTTTATTTTAAAGATATGTATTAATTTTTTTTAGTATATATTGTTCATCCATTCAATAGTTCAAGAATGTTTTGAAGAATGAAACTTTAAGAATTTACAATCTCATTTTAAGAATGTCTTTTTTTTGTTTATAATGCTCAAATAATAAATTAATAGATTTTCATTTTTCAGTGTCTACATAAAATATTTTAAGAGTATATAATAGAATATATAACATACGATTTTATAATGCAATATAAATAACAAAAATAAAATATTTGTTGATTCTTTTATATTCATATATTTGTAAAGTAATAAACATTCTATCAAAAACAAATTTGAATTCGTTCTTCCATAATTAATGAAAAAGTAAATTGTTAAAATTAAACATTCCATATTAGTGTCCAAATATTTTTGAAAGTCATTGTATATAAATCTGAAATATTGATACTCTGTTTTACATTTAAAATGAAAGTAATTATTTATTTCATATAAATATTATTATCATAATTTCATAAAAATATATTAAATTTTTTATAAATTAATAAAATTAAAACATTAATATATGTATTAAGAATTTAATTGCTTTAAATTTGTCGCCATATGTAATATAAAAGTAAAAATTATTTGATTATATACTTAATTGTTTCTTTTAATAAAAAGAATTCTTACTTACATATGTAAGTACACACATGTAATCGCGCATGCGTAATTATCAAAATATCATTGCTTGCCGGCTGTGATAGTGATAATAATGACTGATCATTGATTATTGATAAAGTCTAAGTTCATTAGTTTAAATAGAAGTGATTGCAAGATGAGTATTTTTTTTATATGTATCTAATTTGTTATTATGTTTATTACATAAATAAACAATATATTTGTCATTACATACTTATAAAGTATTTAAAAATATTATATTTGTATTTAATATTTAATATTTGACAAAATATTATTTGTGTATAAAAGAATCAATTGATTTCTTTTAAATATTATTTTGCTAGTTTAAAACTCTCAAATGAATGAAAGTTCCATCTAAAAGAAATTTAGTGCTCTATTAAATTACTTAATAGTAACCAATCAGACAATTTGAATCTGTTTGCTCTCCCCTTCTTTCTAATTTATTTGATATACGGATATAAATCTCTTCAGAAGCACGCAGTTTTGATTTAAATATAATATCTTTTATTTATTAAAAGTGATAAATAAATAATTTTTAAAGGTTTCTAACAATATAACATATTATGGAAAAGAAAACTTCTATGAAATCTACTCATTGGATATTGCAACCATGGAGTCTTCTGTTTCTTATTTTAATTCAATTTTTAGTACAATTTTTAACATCTATCTATCTTTATACTTATGTGGCTCATGTGGAAACAAATGTTCTTATTATGCAAAAACAAGATTTTTTAGAAAGTGAAAAATTGATACGAAGAAAACGAAGTAGTGCATTGCCTGTAACAGAAGATAATAAAGTTTCAGATACATCCAGAGTATATATGAGTATATATATATATATATATCATATTAAAAATTGCACTTTATATTTATATTTTTTTTCTATATTTTAGATTTGGCAAGAAAAAGATACATTAAAAGAATCTAAGAAAGTAACTTCATCTCCCATAGCAAAATCAGCATCTTCTCCGATTACTCCTGTGGGACATGATTGGGTATGGTTAAATGCAGATACTCGTGTACAGGTTAAATATTCGTTTTTTTTTAATACTTAAAAAATTAATAATATAAATTATTAATATTAAATAATTAATAATATAAAAATTTTAATTATAAATATTGTTTTTTAGCTTGATGCAATTGAAAATTTTTGTCGATCATCAATGAAATATTGTCCACCAGGATTACCAGGAGCACCAGGAAATCCTGGTGCTCCTGGAGAACCAGGTATTTCTGGATTACAAGGTCTAAAAGGATCACCTGGTTTGACTGGGCCTCCTGGTCCTCGTGGATCAAAAGGTGATATAGGACCTTCTGGCTTTGATGGAAGAGATGGAATCCCAGGAGAACCTGGTCTTGATGGAATTCCTGGACGTAGTGGTTTAGATGGATTACCTGGGATAAATGGTAAACCAGGATTAAATGGATCTCCTGGTCGGCCTGGACGTAATGGTACAGATGGTATGCATTTTTTATCTAAGATCTTTTATATATTAGCTATTATATATTTATATATTGTTTCTAAAGACATAATAATATTGTTTCTAAAAACATAATAATATATTTTCTTTTTAGGAAGGCCAGGTCAAATGGGACCACAAGGACCACCTGGACCGCGTGGTAACTTTATCTTATTTTAAATTCGCTCTAATTGCACGTGGATGAAAAAAGATACGTTGATGATGTGAACAACTTTAGGAGAAATGGGTCCTCCTGGTAGACCAGGCTTACCAGGACAAGATGGCAAACCAGGGATAACTGCCTGGAAGGTGAACATGAATAATTATAATACAGATGATTTATTAATTCCTCCTTCTATATTGGGCAAGTATTCTTTTATCTTTCAATAATTATATTTTGAAAATTTGCTTTTTACATTTTTATAAAATTTATATTTTATAAAATTTTTTAGATGATCGAATGTTACCTATAACATTAAATTCTACTGGATTAATTTCTGTTTATGAAGGGACAAATTTGCGATTAAAATGTGCAGCAAGTGGCAAACCTGAACCTATTGTTCAATGGTTTAGAAGTGATGGTATTGTCATTCCTATAGGATCTTGGCATGGTAATATAAAATTTTAATTACATTAATAATTAATAATATTAATGTAATTATGAATCTTACTAATAATCTATTAATAATTAAATTATAAATGTTGTTTTATATAATAAATATATAATTCATTAAATAGTGACTTCTATAATTGGACATACATTTAATATCAGCATAGTTAACCGAGAACATATGGGAGAGTATACTTGTGTCGCTGATAATGGAGTTCCACCTAGAGCATTTAAAAAATTTAAACTTCAAGTTAAATGTAAATATTTAAATATATAAATTTTCTATATACGTGTTTGTATATTTTATTTATTTATTTATTAATTGTAGTAAGAAATAAAAAAAAATTATTTTTCAGTTTCTCCTTTTATTCGAATACGTAATCAAATGATTCATGTACGTAGTCAAAGTATTGCAGTTTTAGAATGCGAAGTAGAGGCATTTCCAGAACCAATTACTTATTGGGAACGTGAAGATGGTCGTCGTCTCAAAATGTCTGACAAATATAGATTTGAAATTCATGACAGAAGAGATATGTATAAAGTAAGAAATAAGTATAAGATATATATAATAATAATATTTTAACAATATTTATACTATATTTCTATTTACTTTTATTTTTAATCATTTTTTAGCTTAAAATGCGTTTGAAAATTGCAAAGGTAACATCAGCTGATCATGGTACCTATTACTGTGTTGTTAAAAATGATGTTGATACTACTAAAGGTTCTTTTATAGTTAATGGTAGTATATTTATGATAAACTTTTAGTCTTTAAATTTAAATAAACGAATAATTAATAATAATGATAAATGAATAATATTAAGATATTTTAGATGATATAAAAAATATGGAAAAATCAAAAATAGGAAAACAGCAATATATCACATATGGAAAGCCAGCACCACAACATGTTGATTTAGAAGAACTTTGTGCACCACATGAAACTTGTGCTGCTTGTCCTGTTTTAAGATGTACTTTTACAGATATCGCTGAATATTTAAATATTCAACCACTGAAAAATGTTACTTTTAGTGGACTTCCACCGAGATTAGCAGGTAATAGATTAATTTTTTATTTTCATTAAAAATATAATTTCAATAGATATATAAAATATATATTTTTTAATAACTATAAAATTCATTTCTTATTTAATTTTGTATAGATGGTATAATAGAAGCAGTAGGAAAACCAGTTTTAAAAGGTACTATGGATGATCATTATGGAAGTTGGATGCATGACACATCTAAATCTGATATTTATCCGGAAAAACTTTGGGTTACTCGAAAAAATGAAACTTCTTAATTTTTGAATATAAATCAAAAGATCATTTTAAAAATGCGAGTTCACATCCTATTGCATTACCATATCCATTTCAAGTAATATTTTATAATAAATAATATTTTTATCGTAATGTATCATGATTTTTTATATTAAATTTATTTTCAGGGAAATGGACATGTAGTATATAATAGATCTTTTTTTTATAATCCTATAAATCGATCTTCAATTTTTCGTTTTAATCTCCATTCTATTTCTGATCAAATATGTGATAAAGAATTTTCACGGTGTGAATTACATCTTCCAGGATTATTAGTAAATACAAAAAATTATCTATATACACCAAATCATAATTTTAATTATGTTGATTTCAATGTAGATGAAAATGGTAATTATAATTTATTTAAAGAGATATTTTCTTCATATAATATAAATAATATATATATTATTTTTAAAATTATTTATTTATAATATTTATATATTTGTTTAACAATTTTTTAATTTATATTTAAATATTATATAATAATTTATATTATTTTTAATAGGATTATGGGTAATATATGGATTACCATCAAATAATACAGTAGTTATAAAAATGGATGCAACTAACATGAATATTCAACATGCATGGAATATTAGTATAGACAATCATAAATTTGGAGAAATGTTTATTGCTGGAGGAGTGCTTTATGCTGTCCATAGTGTTACAGAAGAAACAATGAAAATAAGGTAAAACTTTCAAAAGAAAAGAAATAATTAAAAACATTAAAATTTTAAAAATCAAAAAAATGTATATTTTATGATGTATTTTATATAATTATATAATGATATATATTTGTAGGTTGGCTTTTGATCTATATAAAAATATTACAATACCCGTTCATTTATCATTCACAAATCCTTATCATAAAACTACAGCAGTCAGTTATAACCATAAAACAAAAGTAAATATTTTAAATTTTAAAAAATGAAATAAATTATATATGAGTTTTAGAATTTATAATTTTTAATTTGTTTTTAGGAACTTTATACTTGGAATAAAGGAAATCAATTAGCCTATCCTATAAAATATCAGGGTTTTGCAAATGCTACAATAAAAGAAGATATGAGGGGTACAGAAATTGGAATTTAAAATTAATATCAAAATGACATTGAAAAATGATGAAATGTTATATATATGTTTTGTCTTTTAATTTTTTATTAATGTACTATATATAATATAAAAAAGACAATAAAAATGCAATTGTTCTCTTCATTCATATTGTGCTTGAAATCCTTTTCTTAACTTTTTTTTTCTATTTTAAAAGATTATAAAAAATATAAAAATCATAATTGTATTAAATTATTGATAAATTATTATATTGAATTTTTTAATTATTTTTTTTTTCAAGTTGTCAAATTTTAAAAATCTAAAGAATGTAAACAAGTGTTTTAAAAATATTTCAATAGTGTTTTAATAAATATAAAATCTTTAGAAAGTTTTTAAAATTTTTTAATTATTGAAATAATTTTTTTGCTATAAATTTAATTTCATCATCTTATTATGAAATATTTTTTTATAATTTTTATTTTTCGAACTTATAAATTATTTGTTCAATATAATTCAGTAAGGTGGCGCATAATGACATATTTAATTAAATAAAGAGTAAGAATGGAGACTAAGTGTACATATATGTGTGAGTAAGAGAGTAAGAAAATGCTTTGACAAGTCTTTTCTTAGTTCGATCTTCGTAGTTTTTCTCTGATTAAAACGATATTTGTACTTTCAAAATAAATTTTACTTTAAAGGAATAAATGATATAAATCAATTTTAAAACAATAAAAAAGAGAAAAGGAATTCATGTACAGAAAACTGAGGAGCGTTCTACCCGAAAAAATGGTAAGTACGATTGAGCAACTCAACAATTTAATCTATCGAAAGTACGGTGTTAATTTTAACCTAGCAAGGATTGAATTAAATAAAAATTATATTATAGTAAACTCTTCAAGCAGAATTTAAATATCTACAATGACATATTTAAAGATCTATTCGTTTCAACCTTTTTTTCAGAACTTTTTCCTGCACATTACATGGATGTCGATAACCTCATCTTCAACTTGTTTGAAGTAATCAAATTTTCTCATTTATATTTCTATTTCTGTTTTTATTGTTTTTTTTCTTTTTTTTAAATTATATATTTGAAAATTAAAGATAAATTTACAAATTTAATTATAATATTAAAAATATTAAAATAATGTGCTGGTACTTGATCTTTATTGAAAATTTATTACTTTTTTGATGTACGTTAATCACTTTAACATCTTTTGTTATTTTTTAATGCTATGATAAATCAGTTCAAATCATTTTAAAATAATTTCAAAGTATTTGTTACTTCATTTCAATAATTAATATATTATATTTTTTATTTGTATTTATTTTGCATATTAATCAAATAAATATTTTAATTAATATCAAATAAATTATTTTAGATATATGTATATTATAATAAAATAAGCATATGAATATCTTTAAGCATATCTATGTTATAAATGAAAGAAATATTCAAGTAATATATAAAATAATATATAAAATCAAGAAAGAAGTTTATATAAACTTTTTCTTGTTTATCTTCTTTTTGACAATTTATTATTTGAAATTGTAATAAATTATCAAATATATCAAATATAGAAATTAATTATATAAATTAATTATTTCACTTATGTATCATATATTTTTTTTAAATTTTATATTATTTTTAATTTTTTTTTTAATTTTCTCAAATGATTATATTCTTGAATATATTTTTTTTTCTATATATTTTTTTAATCTTAAAGAATTTCAATTCTTTTTATTTATAAATACTATATATCATCTTTGATTTTACGATTAAAAGTATAAACATTAAAATATAATTTTTTTTATTATATAGTATAATATATATTATATATTATATAAAAAATTAAAAAATAATATTTATAATATTATTTATTAATATTATATTAAAAAATATATTATATATTATATATTAAAAATATGTATTATATATTATATAAAAATTAAAAAAATTATTAAAAATTCAATTTAAAATGTATAATATTAATTTTTATAAAAATTAATATAATTTTATTTTATAAAATATATAATTTTATAAAATTCTATACAAATTATATATTTTATAAAATCTGAAATATTATTAAATATTTGATATATTATTATCATTTTTTCTTTAATTTTCTTTAACAATTTCATTTTTATTTTAAATAATTTAAATAATTTATTTTAAATAATTAAATAATTAATTAATAATTTATAATAAATATTATAATAATTATTATAAATTATATTAATAATAATTAATAAATTATATTAAAAACATAGTATAATATATTTTAAATATTATACTTTAAGTCTTAAAATAAACTTTATGAATTATTCATTAATGTTATAATATCATCCATTAAAATATACAATTTGAATATAAGATAATCTCTTATAGGATATTTCTAATATACTTAATAGTATTACAGTCAAAACCACATACTAATATTAATTAATTGTATTTTTGTTAATGCATTGTATTATTACAGTGCATGTGATTACAATCAATACTGTGTGAAATTTTAATTATATTACAAAATAAATAATTTTTTTAAATTATTGCATTTTTATTATTATTCCAATCTTATGAGATGTTTGGTAGTAACAAGTTTTATTTTTATATTTACTTTTTATAATGATAAAATTAATTTTTATTTTATGCAAAAAATTAAACAAATATTTCATATTTTTAAAAATTTCATATTTATAAATTTATGCATAAATATATATTATATATTAATAAATACATAAATATGTATTATGTATTATACACACACACACACACACATATATATATTAAACATGGATATATTTAATTTTTTTTTACAGGTCGCAATGCCATGGAGAAATTTCCATTGAAAGGTACAACTTTATCGAACAATACAATTCCACAAAATCATCAACATACATTAACTACATACCAGTCAGTTGATACCAAGGTAAATTATGAAAGAAAAATTAAATAAAAGAATAATAAAAAATATAAATAATAATAATAATAAAAATTTGATTAATTATAGATAGAAAATTCAGATGATGTATACTTCGTAGAGGATGCACGATCTCAAAATCGAACTACTGCAGGTGATACTAATCTAAGTAGTGACGACGACATGCTGGAGGTTAATAATGTAAATTCTCATCACGGGCAGAATGCTGTTCTTTCAGAACATATTCGTATAGATGATGCTTCCTCTCATAGTGAGTAATGTAATTATAATGTTAGCTTCTTAATGTATAATTAATGTATATAAAAAATATAATTTTATTTTTTGTTGCATTTTATTATTTTATTATTTTAGTTTCAGTTGATTCTGATGACATTCCTGGTATTGGACAATATGATGATTTCCATACAATTGATTGGCAGCGAGATATCGCCCGAGATAGAATGCGTCATCGATATATTGTGAAGAAAAAACATGATTCCATTTGGGGTTTAATTAAAGGAGCCCATGATGCTTGGTCTGGATGGCTTTGTGTTTTATTAGTTGGTCTCTTTACAGGAGTTGCAGCAGGTATCATAGATATAGGAGCTTCCTGGATGACTGATTTAAAATTTGGCATATGTCCACAAGCATTTTGGTTAAACAAAGAACAATGTTGTTGGAGTTATAATGAAACAACTTTTGATGGTGGTAACTGTTCTCAGGTATATCAGGTTTATTATTATTTTTTCTTTTATTTTATAATGCTTAAATTCTTTGTTTTATAATTTTTTACAGTGGTGGACATGGCCAGAAGTATTTAGTCAATCAAAAGATGGTGCAGGACCTTACATGATCTCGTATATGTTCTATATTGCTTGGGCTCTTTTATTTGCTTCACTTTCTGCCTCATTAGTAAGAATGTTTGCACCATATGCTTGTGGTTCAGGAATACCTGAGGTATATATGGAAATAAAAAGAAAAATAAAATATATAATGAATTTTAAATTATATTTAAAAATTTTTAGATAAAAACCATTCTAAGTGGATTTATTATTCGTGGATATTTGGGAAAATGGACGTTAATTATTAAATCAGTAGGTTTGATACTATCAGTCTCAGCAGGTTTAAATTTAGGCAAAGAAGGACCAATGGTTCATATAGCTTGTTGCATAGGAAATATATTTTCTTATCTTTTTCCCAAATATGGTAGAAATGAAGCTAAGAAAAGAGAAATTTTATCAGCAGCAGCTGCTGCAGGAGTTTCAGTTGCTTTTGGTGCTCCAATTGGGGGTGTTCTTTTTAGTCTTGAAGAGGTATATAACCAAGAATATTATATAATTGAATGAAATTGTATTTGTGAACATTTTTAGGTGAGCTATTATTTTCCCTTAAAAACTTTATGGAGATCATTTTTTTGTGCCTTGATAGCCGCTTTTATTTTACGATCCATAAATCCATTTGGTAATGAGCATTCAGTACTTTTCTATGTTGAATATAATAAACCATGGATATTTTTTGAACTAATACCTTTTGTCATGCTCGGAATAATTGGTGTAAGTTTATCTTTCTGTAAATTTTCTTATAATTAAAATATTGTTAAATTTTAATTTGTTTCTTTTTTTTCTATTTTTTATAGGGCGTGATTGCTACTTTATTTATTAAAGCAAATTTATTTTGGTGTCGATACCGTAAAACTTCAAAATTGGGTCAATATCCAGTTACTGAAGTTTTAATAGTGACAGTTGCAACTGCAGTTATTGGGTATCCAAATCCATATACTCGAATGAGTACAAGTCAACTCATTTATTTATTATTTAGACAATGTGGAGTATCAAATGCAGATATTTTGTGGTTTGTAAAAAAAATTTATTTTTTTTTATTTTAATTTTTAAATTAATTAATATTAAAATATAATACTTTTTTTCTTTCTTATTCACATAAATTTCTTTTTTTTTTTTTTGTTCATATAGTGATTATAATAGAAATTTTACTGCTGTAAAATCAGCGATTGAAGTTGCTGCAGCCGGTCCTGGAGTTTATAAGGCTATATGGCTTCTCGTTTTAGCATTAATTCTAAAACTTGTTATGACAATATTTACGTTCGGCATGAAAGTACCTTGTGGATTATTTATTCCATCACTTTGTTTGGGAGCGATAATGGGACGTATTGTTGGGATTGGAATGGAACAACTTGCGTACAATTATCCACATATTTGGATATTTAGTGAAGCATGTTCAACTGGTGTTGATTGTATAACACCTGGATTATATGCGATGGTTGGTGCCGCAGCGGTTCTTGGCGGTGTTACCAGAATGACTGTTTCTCTTGTTGTAATAATGTTTGAATTAACTGGAGGCGTACGATATATTGTACCGTTAATGGCAGCTGCCATGGCAAGTAAATGGGTTGGTGATGCTCTTGGAAAACAAGGAATTTATGATGCTCATATTGGTTTGAATGGATATCCATTTCTTGATAGTAAAGATGAATTTCAACATACTACTTTAGCGGCTGATGTCATGCAACCAAGTAATTGCATTATTATTATTATTATTATTATTATTATTATTATTATTATTATTATTATTATTATTATTATTATTATTATTATTATTATTATTATTATTATTATTATTATTATTATTATTATTATTATTATTATTATTATTATTATTATTATTAATTATTATTATTATTATTAATTATT